CCGCATCAAAGCCTGGACTGAACATTGAGAGACAGATGTAGCTCTTGAGTCCAACAGAGCTTGATGATGCGTGAGTTTGTGACAATGAGCGGATATGAAGGGTGGTTGAGATATTTCGTAGCCTAGTGGTGATTTAGAAGTTACTACTACCTAGTAGGTACGCACTGATAGATTACACTAGTCTCATGGCCCGTCCGATCACAGGCAATGTTTGACTAGGAGGGTAAGATCAGCACATACGACCACACGGTGTGGAAAACAGGGCTTCCCGTCCGCTCAGCCGTACTTAAGCCACACGCCGGGAGGTTAGTAGTTGGGTGGGTGACCACCAGCGAATCCCTTCTGTTGTATGTTTTTGTCGCCTCCAGGTCCTTTTTCTTTAGGTCATTTTTCTTTGTCCCTTAATTGTTCTCTATGAGTCTAGATTCTATTGGAAGATAGAGAGACCGATAGCACTTCTTCCAAAGCTACCGGTACTCATACATTCACTCTATTCAGCACACTTACTAATATTTCCACCATGCCCAGAACGAACCGACCAAGTCTCTCAAAGAAACTGCTCGCCATACTCATCACCCTCACCATTATCCGACAGCGGAACCCGACTATACGCGAAGCCCGACTCCGGGAACTCGCCCCCCGAAACGGGGTAGGCCTCGGCTTTCCAAATCGCCTGGATCTTGCTCGCTGTGGCCAGGAAGCGGTCTCGTACGGCCGGGTAAGTGCTGCTGACAATTCATCCGTCGCGTTTCTGGAATTTACCGTCGACGAGCACATGCTTGATGTCGCCCACGTTGGCATGCAGGATGATGGCCGCAACAGGGTCGTCCCAGCCGAGCATACCGGGGGTGCTACCATCCCTGGCGACCACGTCGGCATTGGTTCCCACGGCGATGATGCCGAGGTCGGGTCGGTGCAGGGCAAGACCGCCCTTACGCGTGGCCAGTGGGATTGCCTGGTCGACGGACATGGGGTTGTTGACCGGGATCTTCCAGTTCTGCAGCACCCAGCGGTAGAAGGCGAGGCAGGCGCTCTGGAGCCAGAGCCGTGCCTGCGCCAGGATGTCGATCGAGTAGGTGAAGCGCATGTCAACCCCACGGCGGCCTAGTCCTGAATCAAGTGGCTGCGGGGATGGCCGTGGCCGTAGTGCATCTCCGGTTCGGGCGTGGTGTAGATATACTGGTTCGTCCTGCGCAACAAGGATGCCCCCTCGCTGGTTAAGAAACTTGCGTGGGAGAAGACCACAGGAATGGCGGTGCTTAGGATCCCTGGAGCTTTCATGTCCTCCGGCGAATTGCTGGTTTGGCCATACGCGGACCCGATTAGCAAGCTAGTTCACATAGACTTCGATCTCAAGAGGGGCGACATACCTCACCTGATACCCTGGAAGGAGTAAGTGGTGATGACGGAGACGTTATATTTCCTCGAGAAGAAGCCTCGGCTATTGACGAACTTCGCAAGTTTTGGTCTAACAACGGGTAAGGAAAGACATACCTGGCCAGCTCAACGACCTTTTGAATCTGGGCTGGACTACCAGGGTTGAACTCATCGTAGGCGATCCCGAGGCTGGTGGCCGTGCCGTTGAAGCGGCCGCTATCGGCGATTTCCTCGAACTTGTCCATCTTCTCGGGAAAAGTGTAATTCATCACATTGTGGAAGGTGTAGCACCAGAACATCCGAGCACCACTGTTAATGCTGGCAGCCAGACCCGTGTCGGTGGTCTCAGGTGTTGTGCGCATGGTCTATGATCGTGGTAACTCCGGCGTTCATCATTTCATGCAGACCTGCCAACTGACTGATGTAGACATCTTCGGGCGAGTACTCCCCATTTACCGCAAACTCTCCGTACCGATCAAAATACTCGGCCATATTGGAGGCAATGGTCTTGTAGGCTGTTTGCCAGCTGTGACGGTGAGTGTCGATGAATCCGGGGGTAATGATGTCGCCCGTGGTATTCACAATGTCAAGGTTGGAGGGAAAGGTGCGATTGTATTGTCCCGAGCAAACAGCCTCGATACGATCTTCGACAACCAAGATGGGTCCGTTCCGAAGGCGGGCTGAGCGAAATAGGCATCGTCAGCCGCAGAGTCGAAATTGGTTGACGCTCTATTGTGACAGGGCAAACAACTTTCTTTACCTCCCATCAAAACGCTACAGGGTCTTAAGTATTGGTCCACATGTGTAGTTGCCGTAACATGGAAGCAACCAACGCATGGTGCGCACAATGCATCCTGCCCAATGAACACTCGATGGGTCTTTCGTGACAGAGTCAAGGTCGCAGCCGTCGGACCGGAGTTGGCAAAGGTTGGTTATCTCAGACTTCCGAACGAGTAGCGATCACTTATTTGCATTCGTGATTACCGTGGGAAAGCCAGCTCGATTGATTGATGGGCCAACCGTTGTTTTAAATTGCCTGCTGAGACTTGTGTCTCAGGTATCGACCAACCTTTGCAGGCTGTGATATAGCCTGCGAGACAGTGGCCAGTCTGCATATCATTCTGAGGTTGACTGCTGTTCACCTCTCCGAAAACAAAGAAAGAAGACATTTAGGATGTTTCAAGTTATGGCTATGCATCCTTTGTGGCCGGATAACAATCATCAACTCACATTCAGGATCCGAAGCTACAAATTAATCGATTCTTTACCACATGAGATGAGCTGAATAAGAATCAACATTGCAGAGTGGGAGCATTGGAAGACCGCCCAGGCAAACAGAAAGGCAATTTCAATCTCTCGAAAGGATTTTCGATTCAAAGAGACTAGTCAACCTCGATGTAAGAGGCGATAAGGTAGACCACCAGAATAGGCGCCGGGCCCCTGTCGTTTTGATTGCTGCTCCATAGAACTAAAATACCACGTAGGCACCCCGCGTTGAATTCGACACCCACGATCAAATCTGTCGCTTGCTCATGAAGACCTCTTGGAACGTGTCTCACGCATGGTCGGCCCCGCCACCTGCCCCCGCCGCCAGAACACCACTTTCGAGTATCTCCGCGAGGTGCATCAGATCGGCGTGTAGCCATTCGAGAAGTACATGCGGTGCAATAGCATCAGTGACCAATCGGCCGCCTGTACCTCTTTGATTCGGATGAAATGCGCCCATAAACTGGCAAAGGCAGGTCCAGAAGAGCTATTGCTGCCGCCGGTAACGATGTCGCCGCCCTGTCCTGCAAGTCCTGCAACCCAGAAACTGAGGTGTAGAACGTCTGGAACACCGCTGTAACGGACCTCGCGAGTACCCTCAGGGACTACTTCGACGGATTGTGCTTCGATTGCATGGCAAGGTCACAAGGTATCTGCGGCGGAAGCGAGGAGTTCCGTGCCTACATGAACAAGCGCGGGCCGTATGATGGAGATTGTCAGATCCTCCATGGTAAAGCGTCTTTGGACTTCAGTTTTATCTGTCCCAGGAAGGAGATGGATTAGTCCTGCCTCATGTGTTCCCGATAATATTTGTTCGACCTCCGTGGCTCCTATGGGCTGATTCCACTTCTGGGATAATGCTTGTAGTGCTTGATGAACGGTCGTATGAGCGTCTGGGCGTTTTGACGTGTTATGGGCACCATTGATCCGGAAAACTACTTGTTGAGAAGCATGGGCATGGCGCTAGTTGTGGAACAGACTGTATTCATCAGCTTCTTCGCCTTAAAAAAGATATTCCCACTCCGAGCTAGATACATTACTGGGGAAGTCAGCATTCTTGTTCATACGGATTATCTTGAAGATAATCGTACGAACTCAATTCAGTGAGCAATCAACCTCCTTGGAAATCAAAACAATCAAAGTCATTTGGGAGTCGTCCTGCGTTCCCCTTTCGGCCGATCCATGGACTTGCGACCTACCTTCCTCTCTATGCAATTGAAGACATTTCAGCAACTCTGAGAAGTTCGAATGTTCATTAAAGCGCACAAGAATTGCTATAGCGCAACTAAGTCCCGGATGATATCATTCAACAAGACTTCCAACACTTTAGCACTCCTTTACCCGGCATTCGCCCGAGAAGCTGCTTCGAAGCTCATCCAGTACCATCAACAAGATAGCGCCGTCAAACTGGAACTCGAGCCGTGGATGTCCTCTGCAAGTAGGAAATGCATGAAGATACGGCACTACCATTCCCGACCCTCAGTCGATCCATCCCCGATTTGCGCCTAACCCTCGATAGATGAGGGCCGCTTGGCAAGACCCCATCCACACCAGAGCAATGGGCTCCACTTCTCCCTCTTATCCGTGGTCTAAGCCCTGAAGAAGCCGAAAAAGTATCTGCTGTTGCCATCAAGACTAAACCAGCGATTACAGGGTTGGATTCCCATCTCCAGCATCGATGCTTACAGAGTTGAAGACTCAGCATCCCAAGTAGGACACGACGCCCGGCCGTGGAGCGGCGCGCATCCCCAGTTACAAAGCTGGCTATGTCCCCATGTCAGCACGACCCCAAGTACCCCAGAGGAGAACAGACGCACAGGTTATCCCTCCGGAAGTGTCGACGAATCAACCCCCGTTCTTCCGGCTCCATATCCCAACAGATATTGCTCTCAAGCCCGATGCGGCTTGCCAGACGTCAACCGGGCACCACTTCCCATACAACGTATTTCAAGAACCCACCCGGAACGAGCTCTGACCCCCCCTCTCGGCGTGTGGTCTTAGAGTCCAGTAAGCGCGGGGTAATTTTTGAACCCTTACGCGTCAATTTGCGCAAGGCCACTAGCCCTGGTGGGTTATCCCAGGTCTGGGCTTGCTGGCTGCGGACCGCTGGGGGCTCGGCCTCGGTACCCCCGGTAGGGAACTGCGTATAGAGCCTCATGTGAGCTTTAATGTTGCTGTCGGCTTTCTTGCAGATAAGGCGGAAGGTTGCGTAGGATGCAGGTGGGTTCTCTGGGTTTCCCTCGCCTAGATAAAGTTGATAGACATGTCCGTCGCATGCCTCGAGGACCGTCCAAATCTCATTGAGTTAAATGGTGGAGTCAATGCCAATCTCCGGTAAAACATGGTCATCCCGGCTAGACGATAGCCTTTGGCTGAGGTTACTAGGCCGGACAAGCTAGGGTTGAAAGAACGAAAGTAGAGAGAGAGAGAGAGAGAGATGATGATGTTTTCAACGGCATAATCGATCGGCAGATACAGTATGGCTGGAAAGGATGGTTCGGGTGAAGGTTGCGATACTGAGAGAATCAATGCCGGAAGAGGGCTATTACAAGCAGAACCTTGACTGTAAACCTTCAATGTGTGACGTGGGAGCGTACATCGTAAGTCTTCTTCACCTGCTCTTTTGATCTTACATTCACACTTTTTTGCCAAAATCCCGGGTCTTGATGGATCTGAATCATTTGTTGCTTCTGGGTAGGCCTAGCCATCTAATAGATGTCTTCGTTTATTGACATCTCTTGCCTCAGACCCTGTCAAACGCCCGTCCGGTGTCCTTGTGATGCACCTCAACGATGAACGGGACGGATCAAATCATAAGAGATTACGATTCTAGCCTTGGTAGTCAATGGGTATCTATAACCCAGTCCGGAGAATATTGTGCAGTACGAAGATTCTGTACACTGATTTCGTATTCTATTGAACTATCGCAGGATATGTTTCTGATAATCTTAAGTATGCCTCTCCTCTGATTCGTTGTGCACTGGTAGAGTTGAACATTGATTCTCACGAGGCTTGGACCCTGCGCAGTCGGTGGTACTCAGATCCATGAGCTCGGTCGGAGGTGAAGCACGTAGGTTCAGGAACGATTCGCGATTGTCGTCTACGCTCTGGTACTGAGTTCCAGGCTCCTTTATACGGATGGCATTGACCCATGAAGTCAGCAGGTAGCCCACAAGCACCAGCACATAGACCGCATTATACAAGCAAAAGATCACACCAACAACGCTAGCCGCCATTGGTGAGCCTTTGAAGATGCCCGAGAAGATGAGGATGCAGATGGAGTTCAGAAACTGGATGATCGCTACTGCGATGGCGCGACGATTCATGCTTCGTTCTCGGCAAGGGCGGGCCCAGATCACGAGACCCATCATGATGGCATTGATAACCAAGAGGGTTATAGCCTGTGCAACTGGGGCAGACTGGCTAACAGCAATGGTAAGCCCGCCCGTGAAGTCGTATAGTTGTTGTATGGCAAAGAAGTAGTATCTGTCGGCTGTATGGAACAGCTGAATTAATCGCACATTCTTTGCGTCAATGAGTCCCGATGATAGAGTGTATGCTGCGGTCAGGCCGGAATTTTGACCTCTCTGGACGCAGAAGATGGTTCTCACTGCAGTCCACCCAAGACATACGATAGTCCCAGCGCACCAGGTTATGGCCAAAACCAATATTCCGGCGGAGTCAAGCTGTGTGAACTCCCAAAAGGCAAATGGGGCGATTGAGGGGAGGGCAACGGTCAGAAATAGAAGGCACAGGCCTCTGCTAGTGTTCAGCAAGCGCATAGGTGCCGACTCAAGCCATCGCGGAAGGTTGTTGTTGTTCGACCTTTTCAGAATAGCATGTCCCAGTCTAGCTGTCGCCAGCCCCACAAAGAGAATAACAGCGACAAACATGAATGAGAAATATGCCGTCATGAATACATTGGTGGACTCAATGCCAGCTCGGTAGGCCATTCGAGTAATACCTTTCACAATGTTTTCGTTACTCTTTGACACGTTCGAACCCGTTCTTCGGAGAAATCTCCTGCCGGAACTGAGGACAGCATCGGAGAACCCCCGCTTCTCTACAATCACTGAGATGCTTTTTGAGTTGTCCACAACAGTAGACGGGGTACCTCCCGTTGCACGTAAGTACCAGCGGCCGAACGACTGAACAAACCCGATCCGTACAATTCCAATAGTCCATTGGTAGATTTGTGTCCAGGACTGTGCTATAGGTGGTAGTCTAACTGAGCAGAGGCCGAACATTGCTTGCGACTGCATGAAGCTCAACAATTCCAGCGACGCGACGGAAAGCTGTGTGGCGGAATGAAGATGGCCTCCGATCATGGCAATAGCGCAGCCGATCAGACCCAGCCCGGTCATGGCCGCAAGAACCCACGAAACAGCCGCTTGATCGACCGTGCGCCCGTTGGAGAGATCGGCTGAAAGACATGCTATAGATTCTCGAGCCGAAGCACTGTAAATGTACACAAGGATTGTGGAATCGAGGTCCGGAACAGTGTAGCCAATACCTAGCTTACAGTCGCAGTCAGTTTGGGATATTCTGGCAAGGATCAAGAAGTGGTCATTTCACTTACCTGGAATCACTGACACGATGGATGACATGTTCACGCTTGCCTGGGGTATATCGAGTGCGCCAGATGCAAGTGGACAAAGGCTGTCGAGGCCCAAGTCACACAGGCTGATCGTGTCATTGAGGATCTGGTATCCGTACACCAACAGCACCACATCTGCGGTGACATTGCCCGATACATTGAGATATCCAGTAAACGCGATGTCGAGAGTTCCAGACCGTGTCAATCTGGCATCGAAATAGGTCACGCTAATGGCTGTGTCAGGGCCACAATTTGCCAGAGCAGACGTTGAGATGGATTCGTTAGCAAGGACAACTCGAAAGAAGGATATAATGAGCAACAGGCGACATGTTGATTGAGATTTTGCACGCATCGTTGGACGTTCTGGTGTTTAGAGGGTGTAGAGAAGGTGATGCGGGTTGCAGGAGGAATCGCCATAGGCGGCAAGGCGAGTGTGTCTTGGTGGAAGAATGATTTTCAATGATAGCATTAGCCTTGAATTGTGACTGTGACGTGTATCCCATAACCTGCAGGCTATTTTCGGACCTCGTTACTCGCTTTCGGCTAAATTTCATTCAGTATATTGGTGCGCACCTAATCTCAAAATGCATACCATCATTCTTTATGAATGATCAAACGATGCTGATTAATGGTATCGAACATTACTCACGGAGAGCAGTACATCTGGGTGGTCCTACGACTGAGCTAGGCCTCGCCTAAAAAGATCATAATAATGCATGGATAGGCTCGGTTCTGGCCCGTCCCGTACGGATGCAGCTGGTCCGTTCGAGAGAATATCATACTAAAACCATACACTGGCTCGGCAAAGGCTGCCACAGCCTCATCCAGGGACCCACGGGTAGAGAGAAAATGTGGAGGGAAAAGGATCCTCAAACATCGGTGGTCGGGAGGTCGGGAACTCGGAGCCCCGATGCTCCGATGTAGTTCAAATTTCGCATGTATGGAGAGTGGCCCAGGCATAAGTAAAAATTGAAGTACGTTGTCCACCCGCTTACACAGACGGCTCTCATTCCGAATTCCTCATGGGCGAAGTGCCATAAATAGTTAGCTTTAGCAAGGCATGGATTTGCCAGGCCGATCTAGCCTGAATCCGTCCCCTTGTCTACTGTCCGGCTGAGTGCCAGTGGAGAGGATAAAGTGGAATCCCGAAGCCGAGCTCTATATATATGGATGCTTTGGACAATGTCTTTGCTCTTCCTTGAGGAGAGTAGCCGACTCATACTTTCGAATCAATCAGTTTATTTCTCTCTTCCGTCATGACTCTCAAAGTCAAGTATATGGGAGAGTACAATTATGTACCCTCCGTTGGGGCCGCGTCCGTCTTTGCCGTCCTTTTCGCAGCATCGACATTTTACCACACCTTTCAACTATCTCGAACAAGGACCTGGTTCTTCATTGCGTTTACGATTGGGGGCTACTGTATGTATGCACGATCAAACATGTTCCCCCGAGCGGTCATCGCTGATACAACGACCGGGAGATGAATAGTTGAGGTGGCGGGATACATTGCGGTGAGTCTCCATCCCTCATGCTTTCATCTCAGACTTTATTTCTGGAGAGCAAATCATGATGTTGCTAGGTATAGAGAGCTATCTCAGGTAGCCAATATCCCGACTATGAGCTGGGCCCAATAGCGGTCCAGACGATCCTCATCCTCATCGCGCCCTCCCTCTTCGCCGCCAGCATCTACATGACCCTCGGCCGCATTATCATCATAACAGGGGGTGAGCAATTCAGCCCTGTGCGACGCTCGTGGTTGACCAAGCTCTTCGTCTTGGGAGACATTATAGCCTTCCTCACACAAGCTGGAGGTAAAAGCCCCTCACTTCCTTTCCCTTTGTTCTTTCCCTTCCAGCAAGGTTGCTAACTCAACACACAAATTCCCGCCCGACCAACAGGCGCCGCAATCCTTGTCCAGCAGAAAGCCAGCAGTTTCTCCACCGGCGAGACGGTCATCAAGATTGGCCTGATCATCCAGGTCATCTTCTTCGGTCTCTTCATCTTAACTAGCGTGCTATTCCACGTGCGACTGGTCAAATCCGGGTTCGCGGAGCGGTACACGACAAATGTGCCGTGGAGACGACACATGCACGCGCTCTACATCGGCAGTGTCTTTATCTTCATCCGGTGCATCTTCCGCCTGGTCGAGTACGACCAGGGGACGACAGGCACGCTGTTGCAGCACGAGTACTGGGTGTATATCTTCGATGCGGCGATGATGCTGATCGTTATGGCGGTGTTCAATTGGAATTATCCGTCGGAGGTCACGGCGCTCTTGAAGGGATCTTATAGACGCGGGTCGGGGACGGAGCTGCCGTTGCATGGGTGATTAATCTGCGAATGTGCGACGGTGTGGGAAGGATATTGCACATGCACCTCAGTGGCGGTGTGTGGGCCAGCAGTAGAGTGGGAAATATGCAATGTATATACACTACACTAGTATGTCGGCTTTAGAATCATGCTCACTGCTCCTAACAGTTCTGGGCGTGAGAAGAAGATCACAGTACTCCGTTACTGCAACGTAAATTCTGATCAGAAACCAGCTGAATGACTCACGAAATTCTGGTCTTCTTTCTGCGCGATGATGGACAGTCATGGTTTTCGGCCGAGAGGAAGGCCACATCTCCCTTGTAGGTCTAGACGCTTGCTATCGCGACACACAATCACATAGTGTTCTATCCGATCTAGCAGGTGATAAGCTCATGTACATGACACGTGATCAAGTACCAAGCACTATGCTAACGAAGCAGAGAGAGAGATGCAAACCATCTACGAACCATACGCAAATCTAATCCTTCTTGATCCCCACCTTATGAACACTTTTCAAACCCCACCAACTGACCAAAACGGACACAAAGCCCAACGAGCAATTATATAACCACCCGGCGCGATATCCCAGCATGAATGCCTCGAGCCCCACACCAGCCTGCCCAGGGACCTGCCTCGCGAGCACTGCTGACGTCGCGATCCTCACGCTCTTCCCCACCTGCGACAGCATGTTGAGCACCCCATCGGCGAGGGTCTGCGTCTTGGCCGGAACCGCCCCCGTCATCACTAGGCTGGTGATCGTGTACATGAGATCCGCTCCCAGCGGGTTCAGCGCCATCGCCTGGAAGACGCCAGTCCTGTAGCCTGGTCCGTCGATGCGGCATAGCTTTGCGAGGAGCAGGGGCGCAATTCCGCTGACGAGACAGCCGGCGTGAACGGCGATAGAGGGGCGCAGGTGCGGTAATAACGCGCCGATGGCGATGTTCATCAGCAATCTGCAGATCGGGGCGGGGAGGAAGTACAGCGAGGAGGTCAGGGCGGAGACATCGCGGACGTCATGGAGGCATAATGCCGTGAGTTGTCCGCTGGCGTTCAAGGTGCCCCAAAGGAAGACAGTGATGCAGATGCTCGTAATGGGAAGGTTGGTCCAGAGCGTGTTGGAAATCAAGGCCGGACGACAGAAGCGGGTTTGGCGGTGCATTCAGTAGATAAAAAGCTGGGATGAGCAGAGTGGCGATGTAGAGCAACAATATGTTGAGTGGGGAGGCGAAGGTATGAGTGCCATCAGTGATGCTTGTTGCTACGGCGCGTTCGTAAGATAAGAGCAGCAAGGCTGGTGCTGATGAGCAGGGTCTTCCTGAGGAGGTGTCGGTGGTCGGGGGTAAAGCCCAAAGAGCGACAGCCAGGACGGCACCAGTAAGAAGGGCGGTCGCGTAGAAGCCCAACATGCCCCCCAGTACTAGACCGAGGCCGAAGCCGACCGCCTGGCCCCCTCCCATGCAGTGAAGGCTATACTGCGTCGACGCGGGTTCTTGTTGGCGCCAACCGCCCCGGTGAGGCAGAAAGAGGCGGGTATCCCTGCGACAACGCGCAGGGCGATCAATTGCGGGCAAGGCCAGGTCCTAGCGCACTAGCTGGTCGAACTATAACTAGTGTAAGCCTCTCAGTAAGCATGCGCGGCGGAAGCCGAAAACGTCAGTGGCAGCCCCGAAAGGAAGGGGGTACAACCACACACGAGGGCAAATGCCGAGGTAGGCCACAGCTGGAGGGCAGTTGGGGTCTATAATTCGTCAGAGATGGTCGGAATGCATACTGTCAACTGGCCTGCGAGCAGCTTGCCAGTGCCGGTAATGAAGGTGATCCAGGTGATGGATTGCCATCATACGTCTCCTAGACATATCTTGCCCGTGATCATGCTGCTCGAATTGTGGCATGGAGGCGAACGACGGCTCTGCAGCCTGAGTACTTTTTAGCATAGCTCACTTCAAATATTCTTTTTGGCTCGAAATATCTTCATCGAGCTGGAAAGAATCTGCTTTCAAAACTTGAAAAATACAAAGTATACGGTGCTGGCTGGGCGGGATACGGGAGCAAATCCCGTTAGAAGGATCAGCCCCCCCATCCCCCCCGGCATAAATCCTTAGCGCGTTGTGGAAAATGAGTTAGATTACAAGACGAATACTCTTTGCAGGAAAGAATTCGATCAAGAAACCCGTTTATGTACAGTGCAACTATTGAGAGCCAGTGATCCTTATATTCTACACCCTTGGCTCGACCTCACAACTCGCGGAGACAATATTAGATACAAACTTGACTAATAGTATCGGCTCTGATGGTAGTACTGGTTTTGATTCCAGTCCCGTCTATCACGCGAAGTCAAAACGATGAACCTATTATGCGTTAGCAAATTGGTTGTAAAACAACGATATCTACCGGGCGGTGTTACAATGCATGGATTATGCCCGGAATATCACCGAGCAGAGTCAGGACAATATTAATGCAGAGATCGGGTCCACATCCCCGCTTCAACAAGACTGCGAGTGGGGGAATGAAAATGGCCAGTATGACGAGGCAGACGTCTCTGCGGCGGCAAGCGTAGTTAGTCACGTGGTCACCGTTCGGGCATTCCTTGGCAGACTCACGAAGCCGTGGCTGGCATGACGGCGACAGCACACAGGACAGAGTTAAATTAAATATATTATATGTTTCGTGTGCAATATATTCAACTTACAGATTAATGACACGGACGGCGTAGACGTCTTATACACAGAATCAAAAAGTGTGCATCCGGAAACTGACATCATAGACTCAAACGGCCCGTATAACCAGAACCGAGCAATCCCGAGACAGGCACCGCACTCACTACCGTCCTAGTACTAAACTACATCACCCCGGCATTCGCCAGGTTCTGGCCCAACTGATCCTCGCGCCCCCGTTCCTGCATCGGGGCCGAGATCTTTGGCCTTGCCCAGTAGATGTATCCTATCTCGAGACCGAGGGCCACCAGAGCACAGAAACTAGACAGGTCAGCATCTCACGGGAAGTGTTCACCGTACCATCCAGAATGGCTTACAATGCGATGAAGCTGAATGCCTCGGCGGCATATTTTCGGCTGCAAGCCGTCAACCCATTCCACAGAATGACACGGCAGTTCATAGCGTTGAAATTCTGCGCCAAGAATACAAAGGCAACGAGCCATCTGCGACACCACGCGTCAGAACATCTCCGGGCATTTCCACACCTACGTGATAATACTACTTACAAGTAGGACATCACCCCATCAGTTATCAGTATTGGCCAGATGTGCCATCTCTGGCGCTTGATCATACAGCTGAAAAGAAGCGCCGCGGAGGTGACAACGAGGGTAACGACAGACTGGACTTGTGTCAGCACGGCAGTGTTTCGAGGTCTAGAACAGCAACGACGGCTTACAATAACCAAACTATAGATGACCGTAAGATTTTTCGTCTCCTGCACAGCCCAAGCAGTGATTCCTAGGACGATCACGGAGCTGATGAACTGGATTGCCCGGGGAAAGTAGGACACTAGGCCTAGAGGATGGTTAAGAAAACTATCCATGATGAAGCTTTACAAGCACAGATTTGCTCGCAGATCGTGGACCTAGCCAAGGCGTTCAGGGAGTTCGGTGTTGTTATAAAGTGTAGGGGTGGAGCGGAGGGCACTGAAGATCTGCTTCCCCGCAATTTCTTTATTTCGAAAGTCCATGATCTCATTACCCGAGGTCTGCTTGGTACAGCGTCTCAAAGGGGATACCAACTAGTCAGAGAACCCCAAGGGGATGCAATAAGTGGCTCGATGAAATCACCACTTGAAAGGAACAGTCAAGCGATGCTGAGTCAGAAGGGGCTGGATTTGGCTCGGCTGGCGGTATTGTTACCACTGCTGACCCATCCCGCCTGCGGTTTCAGTCACCCGTGCTACCACGACCCGTGGTACTTGTTGTCTATCCCTCACTACACGATGGTCTCAGCCATGTGCGGAAGTCGATACTCTCGCTAAGGTAGTACAAGGACTGAAGGGCAACAGAGTCTCCATACTGAAGCATAGAGGCTCGGGTTAACACCATCACCGCCCTTCGCTTTCATACTGCCGCTTGAGGGACTAAGAATGTCATGGTCCACGCACAATGCGATGGTGAGTATGAAGGCCCATCAAGTCCGTAATCAACGTCGTGGGGGTATCTAATAAGCTATGATGGAAGAGAAGTGAAGTGAAGAAAAAAAAATCAAAAGAACAAGGATTGACCATCATGTTTCACTTTGTAACATGCCCAGCCATAATGCCATGGTTACATACATACCGAGAAGCAAGAAGAAAAGGAGTCGGCCACTGATATCCTTGTATGGGTCAACAACCATGCCGCTTGACTCCCCTGCAATCTTCTCTCCGAGGTCGAGCCAAGCTGGTTGACCATGTCTCGCACCTTTGATGATAATACAGCACTTTCCGTGTAGTTAGATCCCGTCATCTTCGATGGTGAGTCTATAATAGAGAGAGGAGTATGTTCAGTGCCTAAATCCTGCTAATAGTACAGTAGAAGGAATAAGCTTCAATCATCTTGAAGGGCGGGGTGCTCAGCCAGCTCAGCAGCCGTTGATCTCTCCGTTGGATCCCACACAAGCATCTTCCTGGTCAAATCCAAAAAGTCCTCTTTGTCTTTACCTTCGAGTAGAGAAAGCGTATCCGCGAGCTTGCGCTCGGGAATTAGGTCCGGATACAGGAACTTGCCTCCCTTGCGATTAGCAATATACCTTAATCGAAGTGAGGGAGATAGCTACCTTCTTCATCAAAGAAGGGACCATCAAACAAGTCTTCGACCGTGTCACATAGTTTCCCATTACAACCTGTCATTCTTATCTTTGGAGACCACCTTTGATTCGACATTTCCCGGGCCCTTGCAAGCATTTCTGGAGGAGGGGGTCCGAACAAGGCGATCATCTCCGCTAGGTGTGATCTAGCATTATAGTATCCTTGAGCATCGTAAACCTGTGTGTACAGGTTACTACCTTGGAGGAGGTTCCAAAGCTGCAAAGTATTAGCAGTTAACACATTGAAGGTACATCAACGCACTAGTATCCCCATATTCCAGACATCTGCGCCCGTGTTCCAGCCACAGCCAAGAATTACCTCGGGCGCCCGGTAGTGATGCGGTTGAATCGGCCAAATGCATTTGGCATCAGGATTGAGCTTGATTGCCGATCCGAAATCCACAATCTTAGGGATATTCCTGACTTTTCTCAGCGGCCCAAATTCATTATGGCAGAGGTAAACATATCGACCAGCGCTGTCAATCTTGTAGTCCATGGGAATCTTGAGTTGCAATGCGGTAAACTCATCCAAGACCGATGGGTCCTCGAAGGTCATCATGATGTTGTCGAGTTTGAGATCTAGGGAACATCTGATCAGCTTCAAATCAGGTAAGCAGATGTTCATGAATTCGTACCTGTATGTACCATCCGACAAACACAATGAAGGTAATCCAGCCCAACAAGTAACATTCTGATGTATAGCTTCATCAACGGGAGAGGTATCCGAGCATCGACAAAGCGCCATCGAAAGTCACGCATCGATTCCCGCATAGCCTCGTATACCAAGCACAGATGCCTACCCGCTTCGCTCTCAATGACAAAAGACTCGAGTGCCGTGCGAAGAAATACTCGGCCTTCCTGTGTCGCGTCGCTTTGCGGGATGTGTCTTTCGAGAGTGCCTTCGTGTTCCTCTGCGTCGCAATTAGTGTTGCCGATCTTGAGCGCGACAACTGTCTCTTGTTGCCACCGGTATCTGTATTGCATTGAGCATTAGTGTAACACTTCGTAATGCATCGACGGGGAATCTACCCCCTCATATCTCGCGCTAACCATACGGTCGAGGCCATCCCCCGGCCGAGCTTGGTAACGAGTTGGTAGCGGTCGGCAAGTATCTCGCCCGGCTTGGCGGGATAGTAATCTTCGGACCTGTACCCGGGGAATTCTTCCTCTTCGACAGGTTCAGTGCGCAATAAAGGGCTCTGTGAATGAGGAATCGTAAGAGGTTTCCTCCGGAGGAACGAGAATTTGCGCGTGCAGGACTGGGTAGTGGGTGTTGTCTTGTGCAATCTGGTGCAGATAGATAGGGAATCGGCTGACCGTCGAAGGCTAGCCATGGTTGTGGGCGAGTAACCCTTCGAGGCAGGGTATATCACGAGGCAAATTATTCGCGTCCGCACAAGTAGGTTTAGAGTATCAAGGGGTCATAAAAGGGAGTTCTAGTGGTGCTAAGTGCCTTTAGTTAAACAGTGGTACTTGGTGCACTGCCTTCAACTCCTGGAACTTCAGATTGTGTCACTGGACGTGGATTGTATGTAAACATCATGTGACCCATCGGCTGTCATTGGCTGCGGCTCAGGTATACGCATTTGCGAGCGACTAGTCGCATGTTTTCAAGCCGAATTCATCCCAGCTAGAATTCATTCAGATAGGCAAAATCATCGATCTTCTTCAGAAAGATATATGTTGTCCTTGCGTACCTGAAATGATACAAGACCTACGTGACTAAAGGTTACTAAGACTAGTACGGCCGGGAGAATGTACCTAACAAAGAACCTTTCGAGGCAAGCCTGAGCTTTAGCAAAGAGCTAAGTTGGCACTTTAGATACATGAAAGCAAAAGTCGTCATACAGCCGACCAGTTACACATCAGTCCCACCAAGAGGCATCGTTCCAACCATCCAATCCACTTCCCCAAAGACTCAAGGTCCAAGAACCCAAGCAAAAGAGAAAGTTGGCACGATGACCAAGGTTTCTAGACTTTCACCCACTCAGAGTCCTCGTCATCGTAGTCGTAACCATTGTTGAGGATTTTGAGATCTTCGATCATCCCCTGAAAGTTGTCCAACGAGGCGATGGATCTTTCGAACTTGGCAGCTTCGTCCTTGGGATAGAATCCCTTCGCCTCATCCCAAAGCAGATGCAGAGTTCCCATTCCAATCCGATCAAACGCCTTTGAGACATGCACAATCATCGCCTCCTTTCTCTCCACTCCTGCATCGACCGCAGCGTGATACTCCTTGCAAGCCCGGATGATTTGATCGTTCGCATGTCTGAACTGCGCACGGAATGCTGCAAGTTCGACTCCGCCCTCTGCGATACTCTTGCAATCCACAACGTTTCCATGAAGAAGGTCTTTGAAAACTCTGACGGCGCGCGCGAGGAGGCACTCTGGGGTCTCGTCCTTGTTCTCCACGAGCTCAGAAATCGCCACATCCAGAAAGACAAAGAAAGACTTGGAGTCGACTGCAGTCTTACTCTCGACCAGAGCCTTGCGAATGAGAATGAGTCGTTCGATGGTGATGCCTTCGATGGTCGGGTCCGACTCAGTGATTTTCTGGCGAAGGCGCTCCGCGACGGGCACCAGGAGCTCCTTGGGGTGTGAAAGGCCGTTGAGAAACCATCCCAGAGACCCAAATGCGGTGCTCTTCACAGAGTCGTTGATGCCAGAATGAGCAGTTGTTCCCTCAGTGGCACGCTCATTGCCAGGCGCAGCTTTCTGTGACATCGAGTTGTCCATGGTGTTTGTTTCTGCACGTTTTCATCAGCGACGTACTAAAATATCGAACCGGGATGGGACCAACCTTTGTTTGATCGAAGCTCTGATGGTGTGGAACAAAGGTGCAAGTTGATCGATCGATCAAATCTGTGCATGAAGACGATACTCTTTTAGTCTGAATTCATCAACTTCTCAGAATCCGGCACCTCACCAGTCTTATCTTCTGAGAAAGCTTTCTATCAAGAACTCGATATGTGGAAGTAGTATTTGATTCGAGACGATGATGGATGTGTGCAGACAGCCACAGACTCTATCCAGACACTCGCAGGCTGGTTGATCGATGATAACGAGAGAAAGATTTCAGGAAGAGAAGAGGTGGTGAGGTGATGTTGGCGGGGAACCTTTATAGACTGTGGGAAGAGTACAACAAGTGACTTAACAACTTCAGCCCTCATCTAAGTTTCAGCCTGTTTAATATGTTTGGTGAAGTTCTTTGCTGTATGTCTTCTTTCTACTTCGCTTTTATTCCATCATTCTTTGAGATGATTTGAACAGACGCGTAACGCGTACTTTCACAACGTCAGCCCCGGTATACACTCGCCGGTACGTGTGTTTAGCTAGTGAATATATTCACTATGTCTATTCCTTCAGCTTCTGTTACTTTCTGTGAAGTTTGTAGGGAAATTCTGGATATAAAGCTGGGCTTCGTCTTTCGTTCGCTTAGAACATCTTCTCAACATCCCACATCCGTGGCTCAAAGCATCTCGTCTTCGATTATCGTTTTATCTAAGCCCTGGCAAACACACATCCAAATCATGTAAGTATATCGCGAGTTTCTTCCAGATATATGAAACGGTGCTAAGAGCTGAAGCTTCCTCTAGTCGTTACTATTACGAGATGAAGGGGAAGACCTCAGATCTCACCAAGTGCTTCGAGGAACTCTACCATGAGATATCCTTCAAGATTAGCGAGATAACTGTAGCATGCACTCAGCGCCTGAGAAATCTTGTGGTGTCTCACGATGAGGGTTTGGAGACCGCCATTCGGCAGTGCCAATCTGGGATCCGATTCGGCCTCATGGAAGTGCGCATCTGTCTGGAAAGTCTGGGCGAGCCATGGGCTAGCAATGACTTGGTTGTTCATTGGCAGAACATTATCAATGCGATGAACCATCTCCAGACAACCGATGACCTTGATGCTCTTCTTGCCATAAACGACAATCTACTCGCGATTTTCCTTGCTCAGAACCCGTCGATGATTGCCAAATTGGAGTTAGAGGCCTGAATCTGTCGTATGAATTTCATTAAACACCCTTCTTTCCGGGCCACAGCTAATCGGATATGATATCATACTCTAGCAGGCGAAATCACAAAGCCCTATATTGGAGAGATATTGGTGCCTGCAGGTTGACAGATACTGAGTATGTCGAAGAAGCTTCGTTGTTGCAGAGTTGGATATCTGTCATACTTGGACTGTTGGATTGGAATCTTCATCACCACGATGTAAGAGAGATTGCCAGTGAGGGTCTCGGACTTTTCAGTTTTTATGAACTTGGGTACTCACTTTCTTGATGCTCAGATTGGAATACTTACATGCATCGATGTATGTTCTGTCAATTGATTTACTCCTTCTTCGGTGATACATGCATACAAGTACTTCGTTTAGAGCAATGCCAATAGATCCTGTAAATCTGGCTTGTAGACCAACCTGGCTTAGGCTCTTCCAGATATTATGCAGCATAAATACCTCGCGGATGTTTTTGCGGTTCCCTTTATGGGTGATTGGTGGCTGCTCTGGATGACTTTGGGGTAAAGCTTCGTGGTCCTGGTAGGTATTTTGAGCGGAGTCAAATCATCGGAACGCTTGATCAGGCATATTACATAGCGAGGCTGCCATGTGGCTAAGCTTTGACAACTTTTTGGCGTGTTCCAGCGCGCACTACTGTCAAGACATATATTGTTCGAACAAGTAGTAACTTGAAGAAGACCTTTACAGGCTCAAGATCATTCTAGCTTGTGCTGTCTACAACCGTCTAGAGAATAATAGTCCCGCTAAGGGGGTGTACAAGAGTGATGGGAGCATTGTTAGGCCGGGGGTTAGGTACAGATTGAGATCCATGTCTGGGTCGTCGACGTAGAAGATCAAATGCTCCAGCCAATGGGAGCACAGGAAATGCATCATGAGTAATCTGGCCGACCGTGCTGCACGTGACTCAACCATTCTTGGGCCAAGACCGGGGATTCATCCTATCTCGAGGTCTCGGAATCTCCACAACCCACTCCACATTGATAGCCTGGATAAACCCGCCTTGAAATGCGAGAATGCCATAAGCTTCCAGTTGCTGATACTATTTTTCACTACAGAATTGCGCTTACATCTTTCTGCTGCAAAAGGAAATTCCGGATCCTCGACCGATGAGGCACTCGGTGAGCTCGAGTGGCCCGTGGCAGCGTTACGCCAATGTGTCTGTCCCATGGGGTACCCCGCGTTTCGGAGCGATGATCCACCGACTTGGTGTGCCAAACAGGCCAGCCCGCTGCTTATCTTGACTCCGATAGACAAGCCGACCAACAACTTCCGTTTTCAGTGGATCCCACCCTCTCCTAGTCTCGGGACAATGAAGGGCGAACTTCTGACGATATGCTGCCAAGCCGCTGGCTGAGTATTAGATGGACGCCATCCCGCTGAGGCGTGATAGCTTAAAAGATCCTTCGGTTCATCTACCTATCCTACACTTAAGCGAAAGCTCTCCGGTCACCCTCATTCAAGATGCGGCTTTGGAAACATGATTTTCGGGGCAGGACCCTGATTTTTGCTATCACCGCAGCCTCATGCCAGGCCTTTCTTCTCCTCGGATATGACCAGGGTCAGTGCCGTTGCTGGAGAACCGTGCATCATGTGCTGATATGCATCTAGGCGTCATGTCCGGAATCGTCGGAGCCGACAACCGCTTCGCCAAGGATTTCAACAACCCTGATGCTTCGATGCAAGGCGACATTACCGGATTATATGATATTGGTTGCGTGGTCGGGTCTATTGTTTGCTACTTTGTGGGCGAGAAGTATGGGCGACGGACTATGCTCTTGACGGGCGCGACAATCATGGTCATTGGTTCTGCTCTGCTTGCCTCATCCTACTCGATAGCACAGCTGCTTGTTGGTCGGATTGTCACTGGTTTCGGCAATGGCATGAACTCGTCTACCGCACCCGTGTTCCAAAGTGAATGCTCACCTGCGTCCTATCGAGGCGCTCTCCTGACTCTTCAGGGTACTGTTACCATCCTTGGCGTGGTCATTGCATACTGGTATTCCGACCTTCTCAGTGACATCAGACGTTTACTCACATACTGCTCTCTTCCAGGCTCGATTACGGCACCAGCTTCTACACCTCCTCCTTCGAATGGCGCTTCCCGCTCGCTTTCCAGGCCATCTTCGCCATTTGCCTCATTCTACAGATCATCGGTCTCCCCGAAACTCCGCGTTGGCTGGTCCAACACGACCGACATGAAGAAGCCCGCGCCGTCATCGCCGCCATCCAAGACACTGACCTCAACGATTCAGCTGTAACCAAAACAATCCTCGACATCCAGGTCGTTCTCGATGAAGAGCAACGGGAAGGCCCTTTCCGCTTTGCGGAGCTCTTCTCATGGGGCGAAGTACAGAATCTCCGCCGTCTTCTGATCACCATCTCCATCGAACTGGGCCAGCAATTCACGGGCTCCAATATGATCAATTACTACGGGCCGGTTTTGTTCCAAGAAACGATGGGGATGAGCCGCAACCTGTCCATGCTGCTTGGTGGCGGCATGCAGTGCACCTACCTCGTTGGGTCCGCGATTCCGGTGTTTCTGATGGACAGGTTCGGCCGTCGCTCATTGTTGATGATCTGCTCCGCAGGGTTGTGTTTGTGCTTCGTAATGGTCACAATTCTGCTGTCGCTCAACCGCACTGACTGCGCCTACGGCGCGACCGTGTTTATTTTCATTTTTCAGATCTTCTACGGGATTGGCTGGCTGCCTGTGCCGTGGTTCTATCCATCTGAGATCAACACGACGCGGGTTCGGACGCGAATGTCGGCCATTGCATCTGGGTGGAACTGGATGGCTGTGTTTGCCGTGGTGAAGATCACCCCGATCGCTTTTGGTATGTTCAGAATCCAAGCTCCGCTATGGATGAAGAATATTGGAATCACAGCTAACCGTCTGCCGCAGAAAACATTGGCTGGATAACCTTCATCATCTTCGCTGTGCTCAATGCCGTGTTCATCCCGATGGTCTACTTCTTCTACCCAGAGACTAAAGGAATCGAGCTGGAGGACATTCCTCTGCTCTTTGCAAAGGGTGGCATTACAGGAGGAGTATTCAGCTCCAAGGGTGGCCGGACAGTCACGCCCGGCCAGCATGCCCAGGAAACCCACGTGGACCGGAAACTGGAGACAGATGTGCAGCAGGTTGAGAATGTAGATCACATTCCGCTCGAAGCGTGAGCACCATCATCGAATTTTAGACACGGACTAGAACTAGAGCTAGAGCATAGAAACCATGCCCAGATTAGGACATAAATGATAGGTTGCATACAATTTGTTGAGAAGCGCAAGGCCGATACAGTGCAGAAACCCATGCTAACATCGTAAACCCCCGACCCCAGACCATTCCTTCCCTCCTTCTCCAGCCCGGAGACCATTTGCAACACCGAGGCGACGGAAGCGAGAAATCACATCTCATCGATCCTGGGCTCTTCTCGCTCCGGGAACGCGCCATCCGACTTCGCAGCGGTTTTCTGCCCGGCTTTCTTGGGCTCGAACTTGATATCTCCGCGATCGGCTTTGACCTACCACATGACCGCATCATTATTCATGCCCTCCCGCAGCGCTTCCTTCGTGAAATGATGGCCGTGGTCAACGTACCGAGGTCTCACTCATCGTAGCCTGCAACTCATCCCACATGCTCTCCTTGGTCTCCTTCTTGTGGATTAGCTTCGGGGGCTCGATGTCGTCCGGGTAGGATGGGGGAATGAACACTGTTGTATCCTTACGTTAGTATGCATTATCAGCAATCCCAAAGGTGTAGGGGAGATTAGACGAAAAGAGGGGACATGAATCAGCTGGAACTCGGATCAGGACGTACTCTCCTCGCCTTTGTTGCTGTGCAGTTCTTTGTGGTACGGCCGGGTGAGATACGGTCGCAGGAGGAGAGGGCGGAAGAAGAGGGTGGAGGAGCGGGTGGGTTTGAGGATTGAGCTCATTGTGGATTGGTTTGTTGTTTGCTGTTTGTGGTGAGTGATGTCTGCGATGGATGGATGTTGTTTGGAGATAATACAAGTGATGTTTGCGGATGAGATCCGGGGCCGGTGGGGTTAATATGGGATTCGATGGGGCGGGCGGAAGACCAGCAAGGTTCGGTTGGTGATGTCAGGGGAGGCTCATTTGGGGTTGGTGGGTTGGGGCGCTTGTGGTTGAGTTACGGGGAGTGGCGAGGAACTCGTGTTACTTCGCGTCAGAAGTGCTTGGGTGAGCTATGTGGTGTAGCTCTCGCAAACGCGTCTTTTGTTTGGTTTGAGATGAGAGGAGGACGAATTGCTGCTGTTGTTGTTGTTGGAGAAGATAAGCTCTAGTTGATCTGTAGATCTGATTAGATCGGCTGTGGGGTAGGACTTGACAGGAGCACCGGAAATAGTCTATTGCTTTTCTGAGCTATATGACTGGAAAAGATGAATGTTACTCACAGTGTTTACATCTCTGCTAGCAGCACTTTACTTGCAGCTATACCTGCTTATGTTTCACTGCAGCACGCGCGATCTCTCGCGGCGCATCGGAACTGATCCCTGATAGCTTAAGGTCTACTGTACCCCGACTCTTATCCGCCTTTGCCGAGCACCGAACAGCTTAAGAATGAAGTCTTGTTGCCAGAAAGCGCCCCCTATCCTTCACCTAGAATGAGACCTGCATCATTGGTACACTCCTGGACGACCGCACTGATTCAGTTAGAGTTCAACTGGCCGTACATCAGTTGTCCACAGAAGGGCCACAATATTCCTTTCATACCGATAAAATCGAGATCTGGGTGTAGGCGTTGTCGTCTTGTTGCAAATTTGACTAGGTGGTTACGCTGGCACTACTAATGGAATTCCAAGTTGCTTTTCGTCGAATCGTCGCTGTTTACGAGTTTGGCAACAGGCAAAAAGAGGCCGAGCATTTGGAGCATCCTTACTCTGCCACGTGATGCTGAGAACTGGCATTGAGGAAAGCAGGTGAACCGCGGGAATGTAACTCGACATGGAATGAGCTCGAGCCACCTCATTGTTTCATCGAGGCATCGAACACAATGATATCTCGGCTAGCATATCTACTGGAAGTATCCATGGCTCCGGTCTCACGACTGTCACAAACAGCCAGTCGAACGTCTCTTTGAGCTTGCGTCGTCGCCCTGCAAGGACCTCGCGTCCTCGCATTGATGACGTTGACATTGACCCCCTCGCAGCAAAGTGCAAGCCAAGCGACCGCACGATAACACTCAGCTTGATGGCTTGCAGCGTGACCCGGTGAAAGAAATTAGACTTGAGGTGTGGAGTATAAATAGCATCACGTGTGGGAGTGTGTCTCAGTCCTCGTTCATGCGCCGTCGATCTTCCTCCGCGGAGAGAGCCTATCGCCAATTTTCGATTCCCAGCGCTCCAATCACTCCCTACTTGGCGAACAAACTTACGATTTCCAAGACTCTCCATCCGCCCATACAATCAGCGCGACATGTTTCAATCGCATACAAGTCCCTCGTATCCCGCTCGGTCACAGTGCACACCGATGCATCCGCCTCTGCATCTGATCGCCCTCCCTCGCGCTTCCTCCGAGATGCAGTGCAACCCTAGCTGCAAGTATATAAGAGCAGAACTCTGCACCGCTTGATCTTTTGCCTCTGTTTCCAGAGCAAGGATCCAACATGTTCAGCTCCATTCACTCCATCAACATTACCATGTTTTACCTCTTTGCTCTCTTTTTGTTTCTGGCTCTTGGCAGTGTGTTCTTCCGTTTTCAACCATTGACCTCCTATATCTTGCTTTGAATACTAACAAGACGAACAGAGACTCAGACAACTACATTCGCTACAAGCACCGTCCCACCCCCACCATCCGTAACGACCACACCTCCAACCCCCTGCGGGACCTTTCCCTCCTGCCCAGAGTCCCAAACCTGCACAACCGCCGTCTTCTTCACCCCGACCGCCTCCTATACAACCACCGTCACCTGCGTGCCGAAGCCAACTTGCCTAGGCGTTTACGGTGAGTCCAAACCCAGTCTCAATCCCTGTCTCTTTTTCTTCAGTCTACAGCTCAGCGGCTAATTCGAACACTCGGGGACAAAAGAGGTATGCTCCTTCGGAAGCGGACTCAGCTGCTGTTCCGGGTACTGTGCTGCCAGCCACTGTCGAAATACCGACCCCAACTGGCCGTACTGCCAGGAAGATATGGGGGTCTGTCGCGGGGATGCGGATTGTTGCTATGGGAATAAGTGCGTGGCTGGGATCTGTTTGCGAGGGGTGTGATGGTAATTGCCTTGAGAAGTGGTTTCGAATGATAAGCTAGTGATAGGGACGGAGAAAACATTGTGGGATGGGCTGCAATGAGACCGAGGGCCGGCCGATGCTTTGGTGAGATGATGAAAAAGCAGGTGCTGGGTTCTTATGACTTTTATGATAATGATAGCGCTGCAGATCGTTTGGAAGTTTCTTCAAAAAGAGGGATAACTTTACTATTCCGATTTCAAGGGTAATATATGGCCTCGGGCATTTAGTATTAGGCCAGGCAGAGTGGGCTTTGCTTGGTAAAGCAAAACTCTTTTACTCTTCGAATGTTTCTACTCATCGGAGAGGATAGTTCCGAGTACGTCTACAAAAGTCTCTAGTACTTGTAGAGCTGAAAGGGTGTCAATTAGGGGTTATGTCCAAGCTACGTGCATAGTGTCAGGGGTACCGCAGAGGAACGGAAGACGAAGATCTTGACCTATGTATAGACTGGCGTTTAAGAGTGTCTGAGAAGGCAGCCATCTGCCAAGATATACCAAGCTACTTGAAGGGATGAGTAGCGCCATGCTACAAGACAGAGTCTGACACCCTGTCCGCAAACTTGGTCAACACAATTACTATTTTGAAATGTCTCAATTGCCTACCTGCAGATCTTCGCTACCTGTCTTTGGCTCTGGGCCGTGTCTCGGACGATCTTCCCCGTCACCATGTACAGTACTCGTGAGTAAACTAAACCAATAACCTCGACTAAGCATAATTGACGATCAGTCTAGCTCCCCTGGCCCCACGAGCTACCAGAACCAAGAACCGAGGTACAAATACTTATAAATACTCAAAACAGTCGTCCGCCCTACCCCAAGGTTAGACTACTAGTAGCAACCAGCATCCCCGCCCCGCGCGCCAACACCGCCGATCATCCCACCAAGTGGGGAAGGACCCCTTCCGCCGCACAATCACAGCTCAAGCAAAATAATTCCAGAAGGGTCGCCGTTCGGAGATCCACCGTCCTCCAAACCCCGACACCGTCGCTCACAAACGGGGGAAATTGAGTTGGGGCGAACGTGATCGATCTTGTTTCGATACAGCATATCGTGGTTTACCTTCCGTGGGTTCCACGGCACGAGGGTCGATTGACACATCGCGATGGAGACATAAGCTGCATTACTGTAGTGTACAGTACAGTGCACCCAACGGCGCTCTGAAACAGTGTCTCATCGGGACCCGCTGTGCCCCTAATTCCGTGGTCTGATATTTGAGACCGATGATGTCAAATTTCTTGGGTGATGGAATCATGATGCTGGATGCTGTTCAGGGGAGCGTCGGACATATAAAGTCAGCTGTCGCTGCTGGAGAACTGAGAAGCAAAAACAACAATCACAACCGCTCCATCAAGGTGACAATCTCTTCTCAACTCAGTCCAACCAGAAACAAATCAGACTTTCATTCCAGCCAAAATGAAGTTCTCCATCGCTACCGTTGCTGCTCTCGCCAGCGCCATCACCGCCACTGCCGCCTCTCTGCCCGAGCGCTTCACTCTCGTCGCCGACGACAACAGCGCCGTCCTCACTGATGGCCGTACGTGTTCCCCAGCTACCCAGCTACCCACCACGCCTCATTGCTACAGAGTACTGATACAAGACAGAGTACCTCTACATCGGCAACGCCACCTCTGACGACCAAGTCCCCGTCGTCCGTAAGTTGCTTGCCCCTATCTTCCCCGCCTCGGAACAACTATCCTGACCACCTATGCAGTGACCTCCAACTCCGCCGGCGCCCTCACCTACCTCGCCGACGGCGCCGTCCCCACCGCCTTCCAGAACCTGTACATCGTCGAGAACTCCGTCGCCGCCGTGCAGTTCACCGTCCCCCACTCCGGCAACATGCCCGAGGGCGCCAACATGACCGGCTTCGCGGTCAACGAGGACGGCCAGCTGACCCACGGCGACAAGGCCTGGTTTGCCGTTGATGGGTACGGCGATGTCGAGGAGAAGACTGTCTACTGGTACGGAGCTCACAGCTCTGAATACATTGCTGCCTACCTGAAGGTGAAGGCTGCTTAATTGAGTGATGGATTGGGGTGTAGGACTTGAAGAGGGGAAATCCTAGAAAGATGTATATATTCGAAAGACTTTGAGAAGCGTATATAAAGATCAGGCGATTGTGGATAATTGATCATTGAATTTACCTCTTCTTCTAGTTTGATACGATCGAGTATCTGTAGTTTGATTTCAAGATGGCTTGATGTTTGTCACTCGTGAGTTGATTGACGGTTTTCCGTAACAACACGTCTCCCTTTCACATTGTACAACAGGGCGCATAAACCCGATGGCATATGTCGTGATCGGACAATCTTCCGGCGGTCTGAGACTGTCCTTAGCGATAGATACTCACGTCACCCTTATTGTCTCCCGCTATGTAGGGGGTGGAGTATCGTTTGCCGTCCTGCTAGGAAAGCCGGAAGGCCGCGGGCTTTGAATGCGTGCGTCATCGCAACAAACAAAAACGCCACGGCTAACCGCGGCGCCTTGCCTCGGTTTAACTGCGACCGCCTGCTCCTTTCAAAACTGTCTGGCAGAATCGGGGCGGTCAACCCGTCCTACGCGATGGAGGAGGTAGTGCCACTGCCTGAGGCTCGAGCACGATTTGGGAGAATCCATGAAAGTGACAGGTGATTTGCGGAAATGGGCATTCGAGATCGCTGGTACCGAGAAGATTTGTTCCATCGAGGCATTCGTCGATAATGTAGCTCACTTCAGTGGATCGGCCGCGGCGCGTCAAACATCCCCAAACAAGGCAAAGTTCAGCACACATCCCAGGGAGTCGTGACATGAACCCTAAGGTCACCTCTCATCTTGGTAATGAGGTTGGAAAGGAAGTGTTCGAGAAGTCCCTCTAAGCCCAAGGTCTGGGGCCCGCCTTTCAGAGCGACCATCTTGACAGCCCCGTCAATATGATGCTTCAGCATGACTGTATTGCGAATATATAACTATTGACTATTAGCTGGGTACTCGGCGCCAGTCACGAGCGGAACGTGCCTCATCATAAGCGAGCATGATTGCCTTTGCGACCGTCGCATCATCCAAAGCCGGCACCTCGGCCGAAATAGCGCGTCTCAGTGACCGCAGACTTCGCGACTTGTACTGGAGTGTCACTTGCGTGAAGAAGCGTTGCTTCTCCTGCTGCTCCTGCGTGTAGCAAAATGACAAATGTCGACTCGAGGTGAGAAGCACAATGTCGAGAAGGCTGGATTCAGTGATGGCGACAGGGATCCAGATACTATTCATGCGCTGCGAGAAGAGCACCTGCGTCTCGTTGCAGCGCATTAGAGGTATGATCACTGTGACGTCTGTGAGTCGCACACATTCAAGGTCAGCAAGAAGAAAATATAGAACTCGGTGGATGGCACATACAGTGATCGAAAAGAAATTGTTCGGTAGGGGATAAGGTCCTTGCGAAACTCATGAAGGGGTCTGTTCTGTCTGCTGGAAGGAATGTGTCCAGTCCAGTAATGGGGAGGTCTGGAGTTTCTTCTGAGAGCCTTGCATGGCGTTCATGTCTCTTTTGTGCCTGGTATTGAAGCGTCCGCAGGCGCCTGGCCTTGGCATGCGCTGAGCGAGCGGCGTGCGACAGGGCGATTCTCCGCTGCGACTCGGTCGCCTTTGTCGGCTGGGACGTACTGATGATAAATGGTACTTCTCGGTGCGCCATCTGGGTAGGGACAGATTTTTCTCACTTCCGCCCAGGGAAGGATAATGAGTTCGGTAGTTCCCTGAAGTTGAAGCAGGAGGCCATGGGATGGCTGACAAAGCATCTTGGTCCATGCCCGGGCCAAGACCTGCGCCTGCTCGAAATAGCCTAGCGCTCTACCATGTATACGCTCGGATAGACAAATTGGTAGCTGGCTTCCTTCGTGGATGTCCTCCTCGTACTTTCAAAAGTTTCACATAGCCTCAATGCATGGGTCAGTCTGAGTGATGCCCTGCAACTACCATGATCTCGTGGCCAAGACAGGCGCTTACTACATGTAGACTACCAGGTACCATAGGGTAATGTGGTGCCAACTCTGGAGAGTGCACAGCCGGTGGGAAATCTTAAATCGAGAGGTATAAAAGGAATCAGTCATGCCATGGTTACCTTGGAATGAGACCTTAACATCTTTTTCAGTTATCTCGAAACTGTAGCGATGGAAGGAACAGTGGTCCTCACCGGCGCCAACGGCTCTCTAGCCCTGGGCTTTGTCCAAGCCCTCTTGGAAACTCACCCCCAAAAAACATTGGTTGCGACTGTCCGCAACCCATCTCCAGAAAAAGATCCCAATACCGAGAAACTTCTAGCACTCGCTGCAAGATTTCCGAAAGCGAAATTCCACCTCGAGACCCTCGACCTCGGCAAACTGGCCAACGTGCGCTCCTTCGCAGACAAGCTCTCTCGTCTGATTTCCTCTGGAGCACTTCCTCGCATCTCGGCCGTCGTCTGCAACGCGGCCTCGCTTTCCTTCGAAGGAGGACAGAAATTCACCGCTGATGGCTATGAATCCACCTTCCAGGTGTGCCACCTCGCGCACTATTTGCTGATCTTGAAGCTTCTCGGGAGCATGAACCTCACCTCCGGCCGCATTGTCATGCTGGGCTCCATCACGCACTACCCAGAGAAATCAAATCCATTGTGTTCGCTTCGACCACAATTTCCGGCTGATATGGAGGAGTTGCTCAGACCGGGGCCGGACCCCCCTGCCCTTGTGCACGATAGGGGCTTCCAGCGATATGCCACGGCCAAGCTGGCTAATGTCACGTTGGCGAACGATCTCAATCGAAGATTGAAGAGGGTATGTTTACTGTCGCTGGAGGTGCACTAGAAGAGTTGGCTGACGTTTGACAGGATGATAGGTTATCAAGCATCACGGCGATCGCGATGGATCCGGGTGGTCTACCGAGTGCGAGATCGCAGGCTCAGCAGAAAAGGTCCACTCAAAGGATCTTCGCGGTGATCAACTTTCTCATGCCTGTCCTAAAACACGCCACCACGATGTTTCGGACCACGGAGGATGCGGGACGTGATCTAGTTGCTTTGAGTGTTGATTCGTCTTTCCAGGGAAAGAGGGGTTACTATATGGGTCAAAAAGAAGACATCCCTGCGGCTGTTAGTATAAACCCAGACGTACAAACAAAGTTGTGGGATACTTGCTGGGGGTGGTGTGGTCTTGCAGCTGAGGATACTGTACTTCGAGATGCTGCTCCTGAGAAATGATGCGACATCGCATGTGGACTGGCTTGAGGGGTATCTAGTTGTAAATGTGAAATAGTATGTACATGTTGACAGGAGATGGAAGTAGAAGAGGATGCAGAAGATGGTTTCGGGACAGAGTGTCATTCAACACCCGGGGGATGGTCACATGCTCTCCAAAATAAGTTGTCGTCTTCCAATTCACCGATATCAAATGATCCATCCAGTTGTTCTGAGTTTCCGAAATTCATCATTCCTGCCAGTTCTTTCAGTCCTTCCTCATGGTCATGGTCTTCTACTTCTTCTGTTTCTTCCTCCTCCTCCTCTTCTTCTTCATCATAATCACCATCATCATCGTCATCTTCGTCATCTTCGTCATCTTCGTCATCTTCGTCATCTTCGTCATCTTCGTCATCTTCGTCATCTTCGTCATCTTCGTCATCTTCGTCTTCTACTTCTTCTTCGGTGCTTGTACCATCATCCAACGGCAAGGACGGCATATCTACTATGCCGTCCATCAACATGCGCGTAATATTGTACAAGCCTTCACGGTCTCCTAACTGCGTATGCAGATGTCTTTTGCTGACCCAATCGCCAATACGCGGTTCATCATGCGCGCCGCCAAAGTCCACAACCCACGCGCCATCGTTAGGATCAATCAATACATTTGACGGCCGCGCATCACCCCACGTCAACCCCAGCTCGTGCAGAAGATCCAGCGTCTCTGTCAACTGGACCAAAAAATCACGCCGATATTCCAGAGGCATCTCCGGTCCGACGAGCGATTCCAGCGTCCCCGCGTTCTCCACATACGAGATCAGCAGCCCGAGGTACGAGCCCTTTCTGTCCCCAGTCACTAGGCCACAAACCCGCGGCACGCGCAGATCGTCGAAGTCCTCGACCTCGTGTAAGGCCTTATACGTTTCCATCTCGCGCACAGCGTGCTGCCACCGCCAGCACTGCAAGGGCTTGAAGTAGCACATGGGCATATCGCCAGCCATGGTGCTGCTGCGCGGCCAGACCATCGTAGGGGGCTTTTCAAGCTCTTCCTCGTCATCGTCCGCCGGAGAAGCGAGAATATCTTCCGGCTTGAACAGCAACCAGTCCGGGTGCAGCTCGTAGCGCGGCAGCCACACGCCCAGCAGCTGATCCCGCCTTGGCGGCACGTCGTAGTCCAGGAACGGCTCGGGTACCTCCTCGACCACGTACAGCTTCCACCGGTGCTCCGGCGGGTGGAGGTAGTGCGCCAGCGTCGGGAACGGGCCCTCGTAGGTGGGCAGCTCCAGCCGCTGCATCCAGCCCTCGAAGGGCCGCAGCGCCCACCGGTACAGCTGGTCCGCCGCGTGGTCACATGTGGCGCGGTCCTCGTCTGCATCGAACATCGTCCGCGTTACCTCCGTGTACGTCTCCAGCGTGATCGGCGATTTGTAGAAGTAGTCCTCGGAGATCCGCACAACGCATCGGCGACCCTTGCAGGCGGTGGTCACGTGTGCTTTCTGGTCTCTGCCATCGTAGCCCACACTCACCATGCGGTGGGTGAGCGTGGCGTCTTCATCCATAGTCTAGGATGCTGAATTGTGAAGACCGCGGTTGTGAGTCTGTCCGCAGGCATAAGAGCCGCGGTGGATGGATTGACAGAAAATGTGAAGCTGCTTGCCATGCACCAGCATTCGCACTGGAGCCTGACGCTGAAGCATGAAACGCCAATTACACGGTCGAAAATTGTCAGACCCCTGGATTATGTCATCCTGTACCAGTCACGTGAATGCAATCAGCCACAGATCTCACGGCCACCACACACACCGCCAGGGGCGGGCAACAGTGTCGGCAATCCGCTGCTTCGATCGAGCACTCTCACGTCGTAACAAACCAGTAGACGATTAATTCAACAGTTAATATCCTCATACTCGTCATGACCATCCATAAACAGACACAAAAACAACAGAAATTCATGAACTCTATAATCTATGACCCCCTACACCCAAACCTCCTCTCCTGCCACCAACCAAAACCCCTTACTCAACCCTCCCCTCCGTCGCCCGCACAATCCCCTCCGCCATCCCGACCAAATCATCCGCCGTAACATCCAACGCGGCCTCAAAGACCCGATAACACGGCTCCCCCTCGTAGACCGTACAGTACGCGCCGCGGAACCCAGCCTTGGTCGCCGCCGCCACGTCCCACAGATGCGCCGCCGCGAACCACGGCTTCTCCTCCTCTCCGCCAGTGTACCCCAAGGCCTCCAGCGCGGGCCGATACGCCTGGAGCGCCGGCTTGGCCACGCCCGCCGTATCGCAGCTCAAGAAATTCTCGGCCGGCATGTCGACGCCGCCCCGCAGGAAGTACCCGCGCACGCGCTGCGTGTCCCCCGTCGTGAGGCACCAGACCGTGAACCCGGCGGCGCGGAGGGTGGCGAAGCACTCGGCGAGGCCGGGCCGCAGGGCCAGCGCGCTGTAGCCCTCAACGCAGGTGTCGCGCTGCGCCGGGGTCGCGAAGGCCGTCGGGTTGGCGACGCCGATCATGAACAGCGTCTGGTAGAAGAGCTCCGTCAGCACCTGCTTGTAGGGCTTGTAGCTCTCGGAGATGGACAGGAAGGTGAACTGCAGCTCCGCGTTGGTCATCCACGTGAAGCCCAGGGTCTGGGCCGTGAGGTTGTGCGCCGCCAGTTGCGGGCCCAGGGTTTGCTGGATCGTCTCGTAGAAGGCGCTGAAGGAGACGCAGGTGCCCACTACGTCAAAGACGACGTTCTTGCTGGTCATTTTTTGCGTGCGGGCGGGTCTGGTGTTGTGTGTTGAGTTGAGTTGGGTTGGGCTGGGCTGGAGAGGAATGGAGTTGAGGCTGGTTGGTGGTGATGATGATGCTGTAAGGAGAAGAACATCAGGAGGGGTAGAGATGAGGTCGGAGTTGCTTTTCGGTCTTATCGCCAGCCGATACCGGGCCCACGGCCGTGCGGGGAAATCTTAGTCGCGGCGGACACACGGCCGGGCAATCTATCGCCATGCAGCTAGTTTGCTTAGGGAGCGTTAGTCGACATGGCCCCCACGCCTCATATATTGACCCGTGATATGAGACATGGGGTGGATATGCGGAGCGCTCGATAATCTCGATAAGCTCAGGGGTAATTGATGGCTTATCTTGCTCTCTATGCTTGACACATTCAGTGCTAGATAACACTGCCCGGACTGCTGCTACTTCAGTATTGCCCTTTTGGGCAACTAAGAGGAGAAACTGGAAGTAAATTATACAGTGGTAAGACACGGCAGGTCCAGTCGTCTCAGTCGTCTCAAAGATGAAAGCAGATAAGACAGATTGATTATGACATTAGCTATGCAAATTAACACGCAAGATAAGTCGCTAGAATACAGACACACTATACTCGATCAAATCACACCCACCAAGTGGCATCATCCCCACAGAAAGTTCAACCGTCTAAGCCCGCGCTTCGGTTCCGGTTCAGGATCGGGGTTGGCTTGGTAACGCTCGATGAACGGCCGAATTGGCACATCCTCCAACCCAATGATCTTGCTCTTGGCCCAAAGTTTATAGCCGAAATACAGGGCAAAAATGATGGGGACATTCAAGTATGAAGAAATGAATGTCTCCGTGGACCACTGGCCGTGGATGAAAGTCTGATACCCACCAGTCAAGAACAGAAGGCTGAAAAGCCCCAGCGCAAACCAGGTACCCCATGGCTGAAAAGGAGCAGCCCAGGGCAGCTCCTTGTGCCGATCAATGCCCTGTCTTTTGCATGCGTAGAGAAAGCGCAGGTAGACGATGCAGATGCATCCCCAATTGACCAGGGTGGAAATCGAGACGATGTCCTGTAACCAGGTGAAGACGGTACTGGCCGAACTCGACAGCGTCATGTAGCCCAACGCCATGAAAACCCCCAGGATTGTCACGGCCACATACGGAATACCGAAGCGGTTGATACGCTTGAAGCACTGGGGTGCGTGGCCTTCGGCCGCCATCGCATACATGATGCGCGAACCGCCCAGCATGTTCGAGTTGCCGGCGGACCAGGCGGAGGTGAGTACCACAGCATTGATAATGGATGGGACGACTTTGATTCCGGCGTTCCGAGCTGCGATAACGAACGGGGACTCAGACGCGGTTCCCGAGGACCCCAGAAGGTTGGGGTCGTCGGAAGGGACGACTAGCCCGATCATGAAGATGGTCAAGACGTAGAAGAGTAGGATCCGGACAAAGATGCGACGAGCGGCCATGGGGATGGCATGACGGGGAGAACGTGTTTCTGCGGCTGCGACGGTGATGTTTTCGATTCCACTGTAGGAATACAAAGCACTGTTCAGTGCTGTCCAGAATCCCAGGAAGCGCCCCAGGGAGCCTCCGATGCCAAGGTATTGCACAAACGGGCCCGGGTCGCGCCAATAGCGAAATCCAATGCTGGTTCGATTGGGGCCTCCACCGCAAGTAATCACCAGGGCCATGAGGTTGATTCCAATGACCAGCATGATCTTGAGGATGGAGAAGCCGAATTCAAGCTCGCCGTAGACGCGCACAAACACCAAGGCCGTGAGCAACATGAGAAGACCAAACACGGTGATCCAGACAGCATTGTTGATTGTGGTCCAAAATTCGATGACCACGGCGGCAGCAACAATCTCGGATGGGATGGAGACGAGATAGGAATACACTTGGTTCCACCCATTGGCGAAGGAGAGTGCTGGGTCCACGAACAACTCAGCATAGCGAATGACTCCACCCTGGAGCGGAACGAGACTGCCCATCTCGCCCACCGCCGCCACCACGCTGAACACCGCCCCACCGATGATCGTGTATGCCAGAAAAGCTCCCAGCGGTCCTGCGTGGGCAATTGCCCGTCCTGAACTCAAAAATAACCCAGTGCCTATCGTCCCGGCCAGAGCAATCATCTGAATGTGACGCTGGTGCAGCCCCTGATGAAAATCACGAGCTTCATCGAGGTGGCCGGGTGCGGCGGCCTCAAGGTCCCCGTCATACTTTTCGTTGGTCTGTTGGTAAGGCGGCTTTTTCTCCGAGGGGGCGGAAACATCCATAGTGACAGAAGATTGCGTGAGAGAAATCGAGGCCATGATTCACAGAAACGAGAGAGCAAGAGTGGCGCCATTTTGTATTGTGCACACTGATGCCCAATACCCCGCATTGGAAATCGAAATTCCCTTGTTGGTCCATGAAGATGAAGCTAGTTAGCATGGTGAGGATCGACTGTCTGTGACCGCTGTTGTTGTGGTTTGTGTTTGCTAGACGCTTATCAGATGATTAGGTCCGGCTCCAATTACCTATTCGGGACGGGCCGCCGTCTGTGTGTGTGCGTGTGAAGGAGCGACCGACCGACCGACCGACTGACTGATAGTGAGTGCCAGCCGTCCGACCGCCTGACCGATAAGATAATCGACGCGATAAGCACACCAAACAATACAAACGATAAAACGATAGAACGATAAGCCTCGGCTGTTATCGCCGACTCCTTAAAAAGGATGCACGGAGCGCGCGATAACTAAACTTCACCACCGCAACTCTACGCCCATCAACCTACACCCCCGACCATCCTCCTAACCATGCCGACTTCCACTTGCTTTCCAGGATCCAATCCAGGAGAGTGCTTCTGGCAGAATCAACCCCATGAATTACACAACTTTCGGTCCACCGAACAACTACCCGAGCAGTCAGAGGTGGTGATCATTGGCGCCGGGTACGCTGGCACGAGCACCGCATACCACCTGCTTCGCGACCATGGGGACGCCATCAAGTCCATCACCATTCTGGAAGCGCGAGGGGCCTGCTCCGGGGCGACCGGCCGCAATGGAGGACACCTCCGTCCGGACTTCTACGGCCACATTCCGACCTACATCGACCGGGCGGGCGTCCGCGCGGGCGCAGAGATCGCGGAGTTTGAGATCTCCCACCTCCACGCGATGAAGAAGTTGATTGAGGAGGAGCAGATTGACTGCGACTTCACTCTGACGCGCTCCATCGACGTCTGGTGTAACGAGGAGGCGGCGCAGAAGGCCAAAACGGTGTATGATCGCATGAGGTCGCTGAACCTGGATTACATGAATGACGTGGTCTTTTACACCGGCAAGGATGTAGAGGGGGTGAGTGCTTTCAACCCAAGATACCCCATGCCCCCTCCCCTCCCCCAACTCACGCAAATGTGCTAATCACCCAGCGCAGATCTGCGGGGTCAAGGGCGCCAAAGCCTGCGCCTCGTTCACGGCGGGAACGATGTGGCCATACAAATTCATCCTCCACCTCCTCAAATCGGCTCTAGCGTCGGGCAAGGTGAACCTGCAGACGTTTACCCCGGCCCAGTCCATCACCCCCGCACCCCACGGCGGTTTCACCGTCCAGACCCCGCGCGGCAGCCTGCACGCCGCCACCGTCATCCACGCCAACAACGCCTACGTCGCGGGCCTGCTGCCCGAATACGCCAAGAACATCGTCCCGTGCAAGGGGATCTGCTGCCGCATCACCGTGCCCGCGGGCACGACCGCCCCGCTGCTCAACAACTCCTACATCAACCGCACCGAGGACAACACCCTCTCCTACCTGATCCCCCGCGCCGACGGGAGCATCGTCGTCGGCGGGGCCTCGTCCAAGTTCCGGCCCTTCAAGGAGCAATGGTACAACAACGTCGACGACAGCGAGCTCATCGACGCCGCCAAGGACTACTACGACGGCTACATGCAACGCACGTACCGGGGGTGGGAGAACGCCGGGGCGAAGGTCGACCAGATCTGGACGGGCGTCATGGGGTACTCGTACGATTCCAATCCGCACATCGGTGCGGTGCCCGGCAAGGAGGGCCAGTTCATCCTGGCCGGGTTCAATGGCCACGGCATGCCGGTCATCTGGCGCTCCGCGCAGGAGTTGGCCCGGATGGTGGTGCAGAAGATTCCTTTTGAAGAGACGTGCATGCCTCGCCTGTTCCAGACGTCTCAGTTCCGCATCGATCGCGCGATGAACGGGTCGGAGGATGATGGGGATATTCTCGGCACGGGCAACTTTCCCTCCACTAAGCCTTGATTTACTCCGGAAGGTAGTCTGAGAATGGCATTTGTACATATATTGAATTTCTTGAAGATAATACAATGAGTGACGGCTGTTTCGTTATTACACTTGCTCGTGACTCTGGTGGTTCGAGTTAGCATGTAGATCGGCTGCAGCAGTTGTGAATCATTTTATGACCGCACCCGCATCCAAATCAAATAATCTAGTTGATGACATTCTAGTCGCGCATATAGAAGATAGCAGTCTACCCCATCGCTAAACATCCCACCATCCTTCCAAATAAGATTTCAAATCAATATGGTCCGGTTGTTGTAAATGAGGTGTCAAGTCCGCATCAGGCTGCATCTCTCGTGCTGTCCACCCGTTTCCCAAGTAGGCGAATCTGTTCCCGCTTGGGTTCGTATACGTATACTCCCAGTCCTCCCACCGCGGGTCCCGCCGAACGAAATTTGTCAGACTGGCACTTCCTGGAAAAAGCCCATGCACAAACCCATTCGGTCGGCCCCCGTTCATCCACGACCGACAGTTTGCCTTCCCTGGCGTCGAGTCATCGTTGCCTGTCCAAACCGTCCGCGGGAAGAACGCATGGCAATACTCGAGGAAGTCGTCTGCCGCGGCCTTGGCCGGTACAAACGTGCGGATTCCCTGGCCCCGCACTTTGCGAATCATCTTCGCAATGTAGGTGATCTGGTTCTCGACGCAGTTGGGGATCGTCCCGCTGGGGCCGACAACGTGGGCCCCGCCCAGCCAGAGCGCATTGGGGAACCCGGGCGTCGCCGTTCCGAGATACGTGTAGGGGAACCCGTATATCCCGTCGGATGCCCACGCCTCGCAGAGATCCACCCCAGAGGCCACAACCGGGAACGGTGGCACGAGATCGGAGTTGGCGCCCGTCGCGCAAATCACTACATCCGCGCGCCTTTCCACCCCGTCTATCGTCTGGATCCCGTCCCGCGTCAGGCGCTCGATCCCCGACCGGATGAGCTCCACGTTCGGCTGGATCAGCGCTTCCAGATAACCCGGACCTGGGGTGGGACGGCGACAGCAGGGCGGGAAGTCCGGGATCAGGTCGCTGAGGAGGGTCTCGTTGTGCTCGACACGGGCCAGCATCGAGGCCGTCCACATCTGCCGCAGGAAATCGTTCTCAGGCGAATCCAGGAAGCAAGTGGCGAACCCACGGAAGAACTCGGCTTCTTTTTCCTTCCGGTACTGTAGGTAGGTCTGTGGGTCGCGGAAGGATTCCAGCTTGTCCGCTGCGAAAGACGCCCGTTGCCAGTTCCCGTCGACGTTGGGCGGGTGGACGATCCAGGTTCGGCTGCGGGCGTAGTGATCGATCTTGGCGGCGATGGGTTGGAGTTCGGGTAGGATCTGAATGCCTGATGCACCGTTGCCGATGAGAGCAATTTTCTTGCCTTCGAGCGGGACGCTGTGGTCCCAGTTGGATGAGTGGAATATGGCCCCTTGGAACTGATCTATGCCTTTGAGGTTGGGGATGCGCCAAGTGTTGAAGTACCCGATTGCGGTGATGAAGATGTCGAAGGTTTCCTCATAGATCTTTTCTCTTGTTAGCACGAGTTGGATTAAACTATGGGATAAGGTACGCGTCGTCACCTTGTCATCTCGAAGATCCTGGATGGTGACTTTCCATTTGGCTTCGTCCGGCTGCCATTCCGCTCGGAGGACTTTGCGCTGCAGACGCAAGTACTTGTACACATCGAACCGACGGGCAAGGTCCTGCCAGTACTCGCGAATCTCTGGTCCTTGTGCGAACTCTTCTTTCCACTGAGTGTTCGGCGCGAAGCCGGACTGGTAGACGTGGGCAGGGACATCACACCGTACACCAGGGTAGGTATTCTCAAACCTGTACAACAAAGAAGTGAGAAAGGCACGTTAGAGGTGTCAAAAATACCAGTGATTGCAAAGTACCATGCACCGCCCTACAAGCCCGTCTCAAGATTAACTGCTCTGCATACAGCTCCAACGAAAAAAATGGTAAAGGGGCAGCTTACGACATCTGCATTTTTCTCCAGGATGGTCAGATCGATCCCTGGCACTTTGGCAGGGAGTAAGATCCCTGCTGTAATCCCCGACAGTCCCGCCCCGACAATTCCCACGCGAATCCCACGTGGCTGGTCACCGGGATGGTCCTCGATGCTTAATCTCGGTCGTGTTGTCGCAGCCTCGACAGGGGTGATTTCTTTGTCCACCACCACGGGCTTTGCTTTCTCGGGGATTGACGGTTTGTAAAATCCCTGCTGGCGGATAGGAAGCTTGTGAGCTCTGAGTGCTACGGTTGCGGTCATCCTTGCGTGACTGATGTAGTTCCTGTTGTTGAAATTGAATCTCCTGTGTTCTGTGTAGGGGGACGAGCGCTAGATGGTGAGTTCCTTTCTCTATTTCATGTGTTTTCATTAAGCTTCCCCGCGAGCAATTAAATTTCAGCGCCTTGGCTAGGGAAAAGTTGTGGGGTGGGAGAATAATAGGCACGCTGGTGCACACAATAGACGAGGTGTATTGTTTCTCAATCGGTTCTATTGTTCTCTGGTACGTACCCTTTACATTACACTCAGATCTCGCTTACCAGATTTAGGCCCGGGTCTACCACGCCTGCGCTTTCTTTATTCCTTTGAAGGTGCTAAGTACACGTGGCTATGCTCATTCCTTTCACCCAATCTATGAGTTCATATTTAAGGTTGACTTGAGATGATTGCGCTATGCACGTTGCGCGGCGCCGCGATCTTGGCTACAGGGTACAGTAAACTAGTCTTGGGGTACAGGTTTGCAAGGCCAACACTTGACAAACTGGATATGAACTTGCTCAAATGCAGCGCAGACATTCGATTTTAGCACATAATTAAGAATTATTTCGATATCTGACAGCTAAAACCGCCATGGGCTGGGAGCACCATGCCCTCGCTCTTTGAAGTGTATATGTGGAGCAACTGAATCGCTCCTGCGGCACCTCATCCTATCAGCAAGAATATCTTGGCAGAATTCTTGTATGCTTTTCTGCGAATGAAATAAAGTTTGAAGCACTACCTAGTACCTAGTAGTCTCCGCTAACCGGGATCTCGTCAGAAAGGGATCAAATCTTCTTGTTTGCCTTCTCATCCGTATTGCTTTGTCATACGATGGGCGGACTAGCCAACTCAAGGCAGGTGTATTCCATCCGAACGACGGATCTCGGCCCCATCGCCACCCTTCGCGTCTAACCTTGAATCCGAGTAATATAGACAGGATCCATGAAAGATGGGTAGCATCATACAAAACTTGCTGGAAGCCATTACATCGCTTCATGCAGACACATTGACGTTATGTAGCATGTAAACATATACGGTCGGTCTTTGAGCCAGTGCCTCTGAGAGACGCTCTTTCCTATGCTTCGGGGTCGGAGTACTACCACAGCGCAGCGCAGGAATCGTGGCTTTGATGGTTGCCCACTCAAACATGACGCTCAGAAGCTGGCTTTACTGGGCTCCTTTACGCAGAATTACATTACTCACGCCTTGCAAGATGTGGTGAACTGGGCTTCTATCAAATCTAACTGGTTGGCAAAGAGGTTGGTATGTATTCTAGTCTTAGTAGAGTTGAGATGCTTGGACATTAGACATTAGAAGGCGGGATAAAAGATTACTAGGAAACATTGAGCTGGGTATAGCGGAAAAAAGAATCAAATCGCTCGGGTTTACCTGAGGCCTCAGCCACTGCCACATATGTGTCGGGGCGGATCAGATATGCCGCATTCCGTGCTAATCCTGCTTGACCATACTGAGAGGTCCAGCTAAAGCAATGCAACGGGATGTTTCTCAGCTGGCACCATTTCACCAGCTCAGGCGAAGAGTCGCCGTACACATGGACCTGCCAGGTGATTTGCTTGAGAGATTCGTAGTTGTCGCCCTCACCTACTGACACCCATGGTAGCCGATCTCCACCCTTGATAGTGCCGGCAGACCCGGCAGACAGCAGGCTGTGTTGATACTGTATCTTGAGCTGTGACAAGCCGAAGAATATCCGTCGACGAACGAAGCCAAATTTGACTGCAAGCTTCACGACAAACGGAATGAGATAACTGCGCATGAAATTGGCCAGCCAGCCTCTGGCAGCCAATTTATTGAAGGCCGAATCGGTCGTCTCGACGAGAGTCAGCGCAAAGGCTCGTCGCTCCGACTCGTAGGTATCTAGGAGTGATGCATCCGCCTTTCGCTGTAATACAGTAGCCAACTTCCAAGTGAGATTGATCGCATCGCCGATGCCTGTGTTCATCCCCTGTCCTCCGACTGGACTGTGGATATGGGCAGCGTCCCCAACGAGAAACGCGCGACCGCTCCGGAACTTGTCGGCCACGCGGTGATGAACTCGATACGCCGTGAACCAGTTCACTTTGTCGATTTGCATCATCTGGCGCATAGCTGGTGTGGCGAGGGCCAGGTCCTCGAAATTGACCTTCGAAATATCCTCCTTCGCTTGAATGTCAGCCAGCTGCTTCCCATCCACGTTGCCTATCAGTCGCGCATGTCTCTTAGAGTCGTAGGCAAGAGTGAGGAATGTGACATCGCCGTCGAGTTGGAGGTGTCCTTCGCCGTTGATGGCAGGCCCTTGGCCCTCGATATCGGCGACAAAGAATATTTGACCGTACGTCTCGCCGGTGAACTTGATCCCTGCCGTGTGCCTGACCGCGGAATGGGCGCCGTCGCACCCGACAATGTATGCGGCTTCACACGTCTGGAGGTCATCTGCTACTTCGCTCGACTCCATCAGCGAGGGATTCCGTGTTCTCGGGTCCCTGAACCGCGCCACCACTCCGCCATCGTTCTTCGCGAAATCCACCAACTCCATGTTCCGTTCCACCTCCACCCCGAAGTCTTTCAACCGCTCTTCCAGCAATCTCTCTTGCACATCCTGAGGAACAATCAAGATATACGGATACGGCGTCAGGCCCATTCCGAAGTGACCGAAGGGGATGCGAAACCGATGCACTCCCTGTGTCCAGATGTTCGTTGCCCCCAACGGATGGCCCAGGGCCACCAGCCGATCTCCGAGGTCCAATTGTCGATACAGTTCGAGAGTCCGAGCATGGACTGCCAGCGCGCGGGAGGTTGTGGCGGTGCGTTTCGCTCGGTCGGTGATGCGGACCTTGATGCCTTGGCGCGAAAGCCAAAGTGCCGTGACCAGGCCGGTGGGGCCTGCGCCGACGATGAGGACTTCAGTTTCGTGCATTTTCTGCTTTGCTTGTCTGTTCGAATATGGTGTTGATACAAAGTGGAAAGTCGATGACTCTTTATACCAGTGCGCATTGCTTGGCGAAAACAGCAAGGCTGACCCATCACCTGACTGGGAAGGGTCAACTCACAAGCGGTCGGGGAGACCAGGAGGCTCGGCTCTCGGCTTTCCGTTAGAACCGATGGGGCGGGAAATGCGGGCCTCGCAAGGCCGGCCACCGCTGGTACTCCAGATCCATGATCATAAAGTCAAGGCTGATCGATAAGATCGCTCAGATGGTTGTAGCTCTCAGCATATGTGAACAGTAAGTAGGCTTGTAGTTAGCGTTCTTGACGAAACCGTCATAGATATAGTATATCTGAGGCTGGACAGGTCGAGCTGCGCTGTCCCAACGATTATCCACGACTGTTTACCATTCAGTTAACATTAGCTCCGATATTTATACAGTAGCCATTTTAGCTAGCTTTAAGCGTTTAGGATGAATCGTCTACTTTTTCAAGACCTATATGATTCGGAGCGATACAGATATCTATACCTAGTGGGCCTCGCCGGTAATTGCCACACTGAATCATGATTGTACTCAAGTAACTTCAGGATATGCTTGGCATACACTTTGGTGTGGAAAAACGCGGTGGAAAAAGGCGGCTGTGCGGAGGGTGCATGGTCGGACAGTAGGAGACGGCGCGGACTCCAAGGCCTTCCTCCGACAGCCCCACCCCAAGGCTGAGCCGCACATTCTTCTCATTGACCAACTCCCTCAGCGAACGAGTCCCCCAGATGACCAGCCATTGAATGGCCTATGACTTCAATTTGATTTTGGGGACATGCTGCTTCCGGCATAGCTTGCAGCTCCCTTCGCGCAACTGAGAATCACGACCAGTCCGATTCCACGGTCCGGTTTCTGACCGTCAACAATATCAAAGTCGACTCCGAGGCTCATGAGTTAGAGGCAAGTCCGCGGGCACCACAACACCTCCTGTCGTCCCTCGCCTCTCCCAAAACATTTTTAACTTCAGCCCAATACCTATCAGAATGATCCCTCACCAAGGCGCAGTGCGGGCTATCTGGAAAAGCGATCCGTTTCGTTTCACTGCACAACACTTCCCCAAGTCGGCAGCCGCCTCTCTCTGGTGCGACTCTTCAGTATCTGGGGAATTTGGAAACTATACAGGGGTTCCAGTTCGGAGGAATTCCATCTAAAGAATTGAAATACACCCCGCGATGATAGTCTACGATCAGACAGTAGTCACCATGATCACTTCGGCGCTTTTCGCATCGTAAACTATCAGTAATGATACCTTATAAAATGTTCCCTAGAAGAAGCAGTGAGACTATTCATAAACTCGTGGCGAGTCTTGCCGGCACCGATCTATATTACCTTGTACACGAAGCCTAGTTCAGGCTCGCTGTGAGTCTAATTCGGTGCAGATGGGATTGCGAGACCTGTAAAACTGCATATATCTTTGCAAACTAGCAGCAGCAGGTCTACCCATTGATTGTCGCCAAGCTGTGCTATGTCTATCAGTTCCCTGAGCCACGCTTGTATTGAAAGCAAATAAATACATATTAGTTCATAGGAAATGATTCTGCATAGGTTAGACGGTGTGTGTTCTGACACATATTCAAGCAGGCCGAGACCAGATTCAGCAAACACGAGGACACCTTAGGCCTTGGCATGATATATCCACAAAGCATACCTGAATAAAATACTTACCAAATGAGATGACTGTTGAGAACCCTGTAACTACTAGCCACAAGCTAAGATCTAACATTCGCTACTTTACGCCCGGTGGCTTGGAAATGGTGGAGTAACTACAGCTTCCCTGTAATTTGTAGTACTTTACAGTACGTACTGGGTACGGTGCATACGTAGCCCCCAGGTGGCGCAGATATCCATGCAGATCGCTCCGCAACATCCGTTAATGAGATCCGGACGGGGAGATCTGAGTGGTAACACCGGATCCAGTTCAATCGATCAGCTTGTATCGAACGAAGCGTGAATGGAAATATGACCTCATGGTCCACTCAGCGTGAAGTTTGCGCCTCTAAGCCATATTAGGCTACACTTGTGCCTAAGGCTTCAGGCATCTATGAAATGCCTGCCTAGACTAAGCCTAACCAGAGTATCGGTGCCTAGATATTGTGCCAGAGCGGTGAGTATTTCTGCCTACAGGCACCGGAGGTGAAGTTTATACTAGCCCGCTTTGGGAAAGTACTCAGTCCGATCAATGATGGATCTTCTGGACTTTAGTTATAACACGGCAAGACACCTCCACCTCGATGTGGATCCTTGACAATTACATCTTCCTTTCAGCTCGCTCGGTTGAGAGGCCTCCGTCCCTTGATCTTAAATCTTTAACTCGCTCCCCTTGAAAACTTACTTGACTCCTTTCGCATCGTCACCTCTCTCCTTCGCTCGCCCCAAACATGGCAAATATGCTTACACTCCCATCTCTACCGGCGAACCACCGGGATCTCCCCAGCTGGATCGAAAGACAGTCCCTGGCCTCAGTTCATGATCTTGTGCAACCGTACAATCAATACGATGCGGTCGTACGCAAGCTGTTTGCCCAGGAGCCATCTCATCCCCTCCTAGAAGATCCTCATTTAAATGTCGTTCCACTGTACAATGAGAATGGCACAGCCAATATCCACATGCGGGCACGCCAGCTAGAGTCGGAAACCCCGCAAGAGAAAGAGAAGTATATGCTACCATTGAAAGGCGAAGACCGTCGACCCAGTGGTTCTCCAGCGGTGGTCCCGAAGCTGGAAGACTTCCAACGAAACTTCACTATCTTTTCTGAAGGTGCATTGAGTGATTTTGACTGGTCGAATGTGGTGGTCGCAGGAAGTGCTGTTGTGACTTGCTTACTTCCAGTGCCAGAGAAATACAATGACTCGAAGCGTTCGCTGCGCCAATTCTACCACGAGAAGATAGCGCCCGCGTCCGATGTTGATCTCTTCTTATATGGGCTGGGTGAGCAGCAGGCCCTGGAGAAGATCAAGCAGATCGAAGACCGGATCAAGAACACCATCCTCTACGAGACGACGACGGTCCGAACCAAGAACACAATCACAATTGTCTCCCAGCATCCAACCCGCCACATTCAAATTGTCCTGCGCATCTACAAATCAGTAGCGGAGATTTTGACTGGATTCGATGTGGACTGTTCTTGCGCCGCCTTCGACGGAAAGCAAGTCTATGTCTCGCCTCGTGCTTTGGCGTCATATATTACACAGATTAACACCATCGATCTGACAAGACGCTCCCCATCTTATGAAAATCGCCTTTCTAAATACTCTCATCGTGGATTCGAAATCTTCTGGCCAGGGCTTGACAGATCACAAGTCGATCCAGTAAGTCGGCACTTGCAAGACATGCTTCTGATCTCTGGACTAAAGACCTTGGACAGACGATATTCGAGCGAAGTTTCACGAGGGTAGTTGGTTTGGCCCGCTTGTTGGTTTTAGAGAGACTACCTAAGCAATCCGACCGAGACTTTTACATTGAACAAAGACGAGAGGAACGTGGTCGGCCGGCACCTAAAAGCAGGTCATGGCGGAGGGGCGTGCGTGGTGATCTCAAGAGCGACTGGGATGACGAAATTGCGGAGTGGGAGAACGAAGACCATATCTCCTCATATGAGACATTCGTACGTCTTCTTGTCTGTTCTACAACGGGCTGACCTGCTGATATTCTAGCATAAGAGAATTCCATATGGACCGAGGTACAACGCTAAGAGAATCGAGCGACTTATTTACGCAAAGGACCTGTTACTCAACGCGGAATGGAACAAGAAAAAAGAAAGACAGGTTGACCTTCACAGGCATCCTGCTTTCTTTGGAAATGTGGAGGATGTTATCCAAGATTGTTGTGGTTGTTGTCCCAAACCAATGTCGCCCGAGGACTATGAGATTGCGGAAAAGGAAAGCAAGATTTATGTCTCGGGAGACATTTCCTTCATCAAGGATGATCCTGGTCGCCAAGAGATCGGAAGTTTCAACCCAACCACAGATACCGAGTGGACTGGTAAGCGCAATTCACCTGATGACAAGGCTTCTACTGACAACCGAAACAGATATGGCCTATCTGGGACACACCGAAGTACTTTGCCAGGCGATCGTTGACTGTGACCTTGAAAAGGTGCGGGAATGTGTCTCAACGGACGCCCTAAGTGTGAACAGTCGCGATTGCACGGGCCGCACACCGTTACATCTAGCTTGCATGTCCTCAACACCAGCAATTGTGCAATGCCTTGTCGATCATGGCGCAAGGCTGGTGTCTCACCTGGCGGATGGCCGATCTGCCCTACACCTAGCCGCAGCACAAGGGTCGGTGGATATGGTCCGTATCTTACTCATGAAGAGTGAGCAAAACGAAGCCGAAGCAGATAAACTCAAGGTTTCGGCAAATGAGGGGAATGATCCTAGTTCTGCTGAGGAGGCACAGTCTTTCACTACCGGGTCATTCGTGAAGGTCGACAAAAATCTTGATACGGACATCGATGATCCGCTCCCGATTGACGACGCGGAAGATGAACCAGATGTTTATAACATAAATGCCGCATCCTGGGATAGTCGTACAACTGCACTTCATCTAGCCATTCTCAACGGCCATGCTGATGTGGCCCACGAGCTCGTGTCATCATTCGGAGCAGACGTGCTTTTGCCGGTGAAGCTGGTGCATGATTACGACAACAGTCCCAAGGCCGCTATCTTGAACCTGGTACTTACACTCAACCTACTTCCCACTGAGGCAGCTACAATGACCGAAGCTCTTCTGAAGCTGGGCGCATCGCCAACACAAGCTGATATGGACAATACCACCCCGTTGACTTACGTCGTTGCCTCTTGGTACAACAACCTTCTGGACGTCTTAATGAGCTACAGCGCGCCCGCAACGAAGAAAGCAATTAATTACTTCACTTGCAGAGGTTCTTCTTGGTATCCCAAAATCTTTACGCCACTCATTGCGTCGATCTCGTCAAGGAATTGTGAAGGGGCACATAAACTGTTGCAAGCCGGGGCAAGCCCATCAATACAATTCGAACAGTTCGTCAAGCCTGGTCAAGGGGCTTACGAGCAGCTTCGAGACAGATCAAATGATCGGCTGAAGGAAATCTTCCGACACCGACTGACACAGCCTATCATGTTAGCGATCCAACAGGATCTACCATTGCTTGCGCTCGAGCTCTTGGAACTTGGAGCTGACGCCAATACACTGACACCCGAGGCCTATAGGGCTCAGGATGAGGATTACCAGCTGGGAAGCAATGGCGATGGCATGTCTTTGCTGGACTGCGTTCGAAATAAGCTCAAGGCGCTTCGTGCCTATCCGGAAGATGACTCAGAACAACGTTGCTGGCAGACATACAGCTTCGAAAAGGACTATTTCTCTGTTCTCACTGAGAATACATATCAATGGTGGTCGACAAAAAATCTTGTGTGGGACGCCAAAAGGCAGAATCGGGC